TCAGCCAGTGAGCAGGAACCGGTCTGCATGTGGGATCCGAACCCTCAGGGAGGAGCGCCGCCGCGCTTCCCAAGCGGCGCACTATAGCAGTGCGCCACCGGGCCGGCCCAGAACCATTGTTCTGACTTCTCACCTCATATTGGGAGTTTTGCAGGCTCGACCATTTTTTCAACCTTCTTTGGCTCTTCCAATAAAGCTAACAAGAACCAAAACATCTTTGTTGGAAATTTGGGGTGAGCAGAGGATAGTGTTATAAAGAGTGGAAAAGTCACCAAATTCTTCCTCACAATGAAAGGTAGGGGAAGGCTTGTTGAGAGGAATATATAGTGCAAATAAATACTTATGTCTACGGAGCAAGTTCGTTCTTTTTCTATGGGATGCAGAGATCTTATGAAGATTTTCAAAGTTTAAGAACCTCAAAAAATGCTCTCTGGACCTTTTGAGGATATGTTTGCCTCCAATGAACCTCCCTTCTTTGCTCTTCATTCTTTTGTAGACCTCAAGTCCCATAGAAGAGGACTTTGAAGGAATGCAAGGTGCGTTTGCCCAACCTCAAGACTCTGGTAATAAGCCCTTAGAGCAGATTCCTTTGAGAATCACTTGTTTTCACTTTCTGTTGAATCGCAAGTGTTTAGAGCTGCATCATCCAAGCCTTTCATTTTGCAGATGAGAAAACTGAGGCTCAATGGTTTTCCCTCATTAGAATGAATCCCCTACTCCTAACCAGCCTCATCACATCTACACATTGTGCTATTTATACCTCTCCTTGCATTTTTATACCATACGTTGTACTAGTTGCTTCTTTTTTTCCCCTCTAGTCTTTCACTAGATTTCAGGTTCCATAGTAGGTACACAGTTATCTTGGCTGAGCTTACATGAGGGATTTGCCCAAGCCACACAGTTAGTTATTGGTACAACAAAAACTAGAACTAAGTTTCCATGTCTTTCTCTATTCCAGAAGGCAAGAGTTTCACCATCATTTTCTTTTGCTTGCTTAGCATCTTAGCAAAGAGTTAATAACAGTCAACAGTGCAGATTCAACTTAATATCCACCCCTTGGGAGACCTTGTGTCTATATAACTTAGCAGGGGCTTTCCATTACACAAGAAGTTAATCTTGGATCAGCATCCAGGGGTGTGGCATAAGATGAGATATAAGTGAATTGTTGGTTCTGTTACAGACATTTATAAAATTATATACTTTTGTGTTTTTAAGGTATGCAACCATCTATTTTAAAACCAGAGTCACCCACCTACCAAGCTTTGTAGCTGTCCACAGTCATATGTCAGCACTGCATGCAGACAGGATGGGGTTCTGAACTTACTCCCTTCCTTCCACTACACACTCCAGCTTCTAGCTCTAACATGATTCAGGCTCCTGCCAGAGTTGGGAGGATTTTAAGAAGCTGTAAGCTTTTAGGTAAACAATTGAATTCTGAGCATAACAGATATTAAAAGTCCCCAGGGTTTTGGGTCACGCACCTCTTCCTGCAGAGTATCTGCCTGTGATTACTTTCTGTGGGCCTGGCCTGTACAAGGCCAATTTACTTGTATTTGGAGGAGGTTTGAGTGGGATGGAGAAGTTGTAGGGCAGACAGGTCAGAATACCAGGGTCAGTTCTATACAAACACCTGAAGTACGTGAAGTACTACTCTGTTCCCTTCTTTCAGCCCTTTTATGCTCTTTTCCACTTAGGGCTCTGATACATATCCCCTTTCACACCAGGGGACATGACAGAAATACAATCGGATGCATGCTGGGTGCCAACCCCTTTCTGCCACTGAATTTTTCTGCATGACCTTGGGCAAGTCACATTACCCCAGCCCCCCCCCCCCCCA